CCCTTACGCAGGGTTTCTTCTTCCACTTGCCCTTAACTTCCTCACAGTCTTTGTCTTGATCCAGAGCTGAAGGCCCAGCTCACATAGGAACATGGAATACTCATAAGAAATCCTCACCCATTTTTCCAAAGGCCCTCAGGTTCACACGGTCACACACTCTGCTGAAACCTGGTCTGGTTATTTTTAAACCTAGCTCTGTGCTTTGTGTCCAACAATCACCACCCCCATGACCCCCACTCCCTGGGGACCCATTCCCTTCCGCCTCCAGGCCCATACCTTCCCCCACCCCAAGGCCAGAGATTCTTGATGAATGAGCCTGGCTCTCAGCTCCAGATTCCAGGCAGGGACGGATTTCCCAGTGGTTATCTGATGCTCAGTCCTCAGTGGAAACAATGTGTGGCCTCCGGAGGCCTGGGGCCCCCCTGCTCCTCACCTCTCAGTTGGGGCTCCCATCTGCCTCTAGACCTCTCCTCCTGTCTCAAACCCCCAGGCTTCCCTCGGTCTCCCCAGCCCAGTGTCTCTCACCCCCTTTTCCTGTCTTCAAGTCTCCTGGACTCTCCCTTCAAAGCCTAGAGCACCTCCAGTTCCCTCACTGTCTCCCACCTGGAAGGCACGTACTCACGTGAAGCATGTTCCTCACTGTCAGCCTCAGGGAGGGAAAGGAGACAGCTGGATTCAGCCCCAAGGCCTAAAATCAGGCAGTCCAAGAGCCAAAACCCTTCACACTTTTGATACTGGTGCTCTGTGCACCCTTGGGCAAGTCACATCCCGCCTCTGGGCCTCAGTTTCCCAGTGTGTAGAAGAAAGAAGGTGGACTAGCTAATCCTTAGGCTACCTCCTAGCTCTGACATTCTATGATTCTGTGATGGGTTCTCACCCTGCTGTGAGGTTACTGCTCCCCAAATAATCAAGCTGATTTGTATGCCACATTCATGCATCTAGGTCCTAGAAATGTACACACATTCCTGCCACCAAACCCCCACCTAATTCTCATCCATAACACCCAGAGACCCAGACTAAGAAAACAAAAAGTGGGGCCTGTTTGGAGAAGCCAGAAGCCCCCACCCTTTCCAGACTCTTCTCCTTTTTGCTTCTCTATTGCCAGGCACTTGAGACTCCAGAATGGGAAACTCGCTTTGATGTTGGCCAAGCAACATGGCAGCCCAGGTCAGCCCACCTGTGAGGCCAGCAGGGACTGGAAGTCAGAGAGTAGGGCTGGGTGTGTAGCAGAGGGGGAAGGAAGGACCCGAGAGGCAGGTGAAGGGGATTTCTGGGCATTTTGAAACCCAACTACTACCATGCAAATGAGATCAGCACAGCATGCAAATAGACAGAATTGAGTTGAGACAGACAGGGTGGGGGCACAAACAGCTTGGCCCTGGAGCCCCAGCCAGGGATAAGGGCTTCCTCTGGAAGGAGCAGGACGGCTGGAGGAGGCTACAGTTGGGGCAGGGGGCCCTGTGTGCCCAAGCCAGCAGGGGTGGGGATTAAGGCCCGACGCCCTGCTGTCAGGTTAGAGCTGATGGATCACCACTGGTGGCCGAGCACAAAGGCTGTTCTGTGCTTGGCACCAATGTGTTCCCATCCATCAGAGGGCAGCCTGCATGGGGTGGACGAGTGTGCAGGGGAGGAAGGCCAAGCCCCTAGATGTGGCTGCTCCACAGCGCAGCTATGAAAGAGGAACAAGGTGGGTAGAGGACCAATCCCCCCAACAGGGTTCTGAGGTCAGAGATGCCTGGGCCACTCTATCTTCTCAGTCCTAGGATGGTCTGTGCCCCACAGCTAGGCCCTGGCATGGTCCTCAGGCCACTTACATGGACAGACATTCACAAACACATCTACAGACAGGGCTTCATTGAAACCCAGACACAAAAGATCACCCTAACCTTCCAGCTCTGCCCTCACCCTTGGTTAGAGACGAACATCACACACACAAGGCCAAACTCACACCTCCACCAGAGAGTAGGCACTGAGCCTATTTCCTGCTCTCACCCAGGTCCGGCCCCAGCCCCGGGGACTGACGCAGAGTGGGCCCCTAGGAAAATGGGTTCAGCCAAGGAAGGGGCGTAGTTAGTAAATTCTTTCTCTGGATTATAGCATGGCACTTTTTACCAGCTAACACTGCCTACCTTCGTTAGATAACTTTGTGTACTCCTCTTCCTTACTCAACTGTGACTATGCTGCAGGCAGAAAGACCACCTCTTATTCACATGGGTGACCCCAACACCCAGCACAAGGTGTGCAATACATGTTTCTTGATTGAAAGAGTGAGTGAATAAATAGATACACACCTGGGGTAGGGCCAGGTTTTCCCTCCCCCACTCCTGCTCTTCTGGTCCCCTGGAGGCGGTGACAACCAGGGCAATAGCCTGGGATACAGGCCAGGAGTGGAGAGGACAAAGCAAGGAGCTCTTTCATTACTACAATGACCATGGTCCTCTCGCACACACGCGCACGCACGCCCTCTGCCAGCTGAAACACACTCGCTCTCCTGGAGGAATCCATCCTCCCGCCTCTGAGTGGGTTGCTCGAACCCTCAGCACCTCACTCCTGGATCACTGCTATGGTTTTCTATGGCCTCAGCTTTCGAGTCCGCCCATGTCCAGCTGGGCCTCCTCCCATCTTTACAGACTTGTCGAATCGCCTCCTTACCGGAAGCCCGAGAGCTGTGCAAACCCTCTGCCCAGAGCCACCTTCCCCTCCTCTCTTCTCATCTAAATCCCACCTGTTCTCCAGGAGCCAGCCCAGCACTCTCCTCCTCCTCAAGCCTTCCACGGAGACCAGACTTTGGTGATTTTGACTTTCTATAAACTCCCGAAATGCTGGGTTGATAAGCCCACTCATTTGCAATCGATCACGGCCCCCATGTTTCCTACTGAATTAAAATAGCTCTCTCTTACATTACAGTTTAACATTCACATTTCGGCGTCCATGCTCGCCAACTAGATAGTAAGATCCTGGAAATCAGAACAAGCCCAGCTTTCCTGCTTCCATTTTTAGAGGATGTGAACACCTGTTTAGGGGCAAGACAGATTGTATCCCAAAAGGACCAAACGATGCAATTTTTCGGTTTCCATAGTAACTTCCACATCACTTCTTTCCTCAGGGCTCATAGGACTAGGGTGTAAACCGAGGCAAGGTTTTTCTTTTCTCTTTGCTTGGCGGGATGTGTGTTAGAAATAGCACTTCTTTTTCAGCCCAGCTGGTCAAAGCAGGGTCAAAGCAGGGTTGAGAATCCAGAGCCCCCCCTGCTGCCACACTGGGAAGGCCAAGAACCCAATGAAGACCTCACTGCTTCCCTCAACATGCTTGGGTTTTTTTTTATTGCCCAGCTGCGACCCCTCCTCATCTCTGGTCCCTACCCCAAACAGACACCAGCACTTTCCTGGCTCCTCACCATAAACCATGAGCGGCAAGAAAGCCAGCTCCTTCAAGCTCCATATGGGTCTCACCACCCCTGAGAAGTCCTCTCTGAGTCCCCAGCACCATTCCTCCTCCTCTTATTGCCACCGGTTGGAACTTACAACATCAATCTCAAATGTCAAGTGGAGGAGGGATCAGACTTAATCCACAGGACCCTAGAGAAAAAATGGGACCAAAGGATTTTGGGGGAGCACATCACAGTCCAAAATCCAGAAGGCCTCCCTGTGGCCAGAGCTGCACATCAGTGAAACAGGCTGCCCTGTGAGGTCAGCAGCAGCTGGACAGTGGCCACCCGTGAAGGGGATTCAGGCATCATGGGTTGGGGGGAACTAGGTGACCACTGGGGTCTACTAATGGTCAGGTCCTTGAGGGCAGAGACCCTGCCTGGGGCATCCCTGTAACTCTTCAGCCCTAGGGCTGAGCTTGTTCACTGCTGGTCTCTCAGGCCAGGCCACAGTCTTGGGAGCATTGGTCCTCTCAGACCCCAAACCCTCTGCTGAGAGGTGACCATGGACTGAGAAGCCTGAAGATGTAGTAGTCCTTCCTCCCACCGACATTTGAGACCTACATGCTACGTGTAAAACTGATGGCTTAGATGAGAAGATGCAGAACCACCACACCAGGTGGTCAAGGAGAGGCGAGATTCAAAGTGAGTCTGGAGGGCTCTGCTTTCTCTCCCTCCCATCCCATCCACAGTAAGCAGCCAGGAGAAGCTGGGTGCCCAGATGGGACAGTAAACAGAGTTGAAGAGGCAACACAGAAGGATGGATAAATGATCCAGAGGGAGAGAGGGAGGAGACAGAGGATTTAATAGATCCTGACCTTGCTCCTGCGGGGAAGGTGGCGAGCGGTAGCCTGTAAGTCCTCATTCTTGCTCTGCCCCTGACCAGCTGTGTCAAAGGGAAAACTTCTGACCCCTGCCAAAAGGACCAAAAAATTCTTCTTGCCTCAATTTCCCCCGTTACAGGAGACCTATGAGACCTAAGATGTCCAGGCTGCTTTGGAAACCCAGAAGTCCAGGTTCCTTCTCACCCTGGACATTGAGCCCCCAAACATGCCCCGAATTTGAAGTGGTCTCATGCTTCTGATGGATGGATGCTGGTTAAGTGCTGTCAGGAGGCAGGGGGATGGACACATTGACTTCTTCAGTCCCCTTCCAGCCTGAACCCTGCCCTTCCTTGTTCCCTCCCCTCAGTTCCCCCCCACACACACACACTTCTTTGGGACTAGCAAGGGGAAAGCAGGCAGGCCGCCTGGCTAGGAGTAATTGAAAGGAGCAGATGAGAGGAGAATGTGTGTCCTCCCCCACCTCCCCTGCCCCACGGGGGCTGCTGAGAAATGAAAACTAATCAAATTACACCGACGGCCTCCCTCCCCGTGCACAGGAGCCAGCCCAGGCTGGGGCAGGCAGGCTGGGGGGGGTGGGGGGGGTGGGGGCTGGGGGGAGAGGGAAGGGAATCACATCTAATCCACTGTAAACGTCTTGATGTGCAGCAACAGCTTAGGGGGGGCTCAGGTTTCTGCGGCATTGGCTATATTTATCTCTGGTTCCATGCCAGCAGGGAGGGTTTAAATGGCACCCAGCAGTTGGCGTGAGGGGCTGCAGGAGCTTGGGGGCCAGTGGCAGGAACAAGGCTTTTCCGACCCCATGGAGCTCTATGAGACATCCCCCTACTTCTACCAGGAACCCCACTTCTATGACGGGGAGAACTACCTGCCCGTCCACCTCCAGGCCTTCGAGCCGCCAGGCTACGAGCGGACTGAGCTCAGCCTGAGCCCCGAGGCCCGAGGGCCCCTCGAGGACAAGGGGCTGGGGACCCCCGAGCACTGCCTGGGCCAGTGCCTGCCGTGGGCGTGCAAGGTGTGTAAGAGGAAGTCAGTGTCAGTGGACCGGCGGCGTGCGGCCACACTGAGGGAGAAGCGCAGGCTCAAGAAGGTGAATGAGGCCTTCGAGGCCCTGAAGAGGAGCACCCTGCTCAACCCCAACCAGCGGCTGCCCAAGGTGGAGATCCTGCGCAGCGCCATCCAGTACATCGAGCGCCTGCAGGCCCTGCTCAGCTCCCTCAACCAGGAAGAGCGGGACCTCCGCTACCGAGGCGGGGGCGGGCCCCAGCCAGGGGTAAGTGGCTGTCCCACCCAGGTGCCCCAGGGGGAGGGGCACAGGAGGCACCTGGACGGCCCGGGGACCCGAGCGTGGGGCTCGGTCAGAGAGTTGGAGTAGGTGGCAGGTGGGATCTTACAGGGCCACAGGACCCCCTCCTTTGTCAGAGCTGGGCTGTCCGGTTGACCTCCGGTGTCCCTTTGTCCTTTCAGGCCAAGCTAAAGGCAGTGGGGAGAAGCAAATGTGGAGAGGGGTGGCAGAGGACCGAAGGAGGGATCCAAGAGCAAGTCCAGAGTCAGCCTGGGTGGGAGTGAGAATTAATCCCAGCGCCTGGGGATGGGGCCTGAAAGTGGCCAAGTGCCACTTTGTACCCCCCGCCCCACACCATCCTGTGTAGGTGGCTGAGCAGAGAGAACACCTACCCAGTGTCTCTCCCAGAGCCCCAGCCAGCCTGCACCTGCTTCCTTCACCCTTATCCTCCACCCTTATCCTAGGGTCAGGAAAACCAGGGACCCCTTGATCCTGGGTGTCCTGCCAGGACAGAATCACCACCCAGGATGGAGGACAGGAAAGGCCTGGAAGCAGGGGCTCCTGTGGCCGGGCGGGGGCATGAAAGTTGCTGATTGTGAAGATCCTGAGGCTGAGGGTGCCCTGGGCTGGAGGGCTGCAGCTTATGTGCCACCCTCCAACCCCACAATGGGAGCTTTTGCTCATTGGAACTGGACAGAGAGACACCACCAAAAATGGCCTGTGCTCTGACCTTGGGCCTTCACCCTGTCTTGCAGGTGCCCAGTGAATGCAGCTCCCACAGCGCCTCCTGCAGTCCAGAGTGGGGCAGCACACTGGAGTTTGGCCCCAACACAGGGGGTAAGTGAGACCCTCACCCTCAGAACTTTGGCTCAACCCCATCAGCCTGTCTCTGGGCCCAGTTGCCTCCTTTTACCTTACTTCTGCTCCAGCCCTCTTCCTTTGGTCTCTCCAGGGAACTGCTGAACCCGGGGCCCCAAATGGTGGGCCACAAGGCCCTATGCCTCCTTGAGACCTTGACCAGCTAAGGATCAGTCTAGGCCTCCTACAGCTCCCCAGCCCGTGCCTGGGGCCTGACCTTCTCCCTGGAGAGGAGAATGTCTCTGCCCCAGGGGTCCCTGGGAATTGCTGAGTCAGTGCAGCGTGACTGGGCCAGCAAAGGGCAGTTCCAGTCTCCAGGATATGCCGTCCTGGCTCCACCTCGGAGTAGCTGCTTTCAAATTCTAACCCAACTAGGGGAGTTCAGAGAGGAGGCACACGCGTTCATTGCACACACGCATGGCACTGGGAAAGGCATGGGCTGGGGAGTAGGATTCTTGAGTTTTGTTCACCTATCTGTCCGGGAAAACCTGTGGCAGCCCCAAAGAGCTCACTCCCTGTCCTGGGTCTTGAAACCCCCTTCGCCACCCAGGTAACATCCTCCCCCCTTCTCCTTACAGATCACCTGCTCACGGCTGACCCTACGGATGCTCACAACCTGCACTCTCTCACCTCCATTGTGGACAGCATCACAGTGGAAGATGTCTCTGTGGCCTTTCCCGATGAAACCATACCTAACTGAGACCGTCTGCCAGGCCGGGTGGTCCGTGGGACCCCCACGCTGGCCACAGATGCCACCACCTCGGCAGCATGGGCTTCCTAAGCCAGGCTGTCCTGATGCCGGAAAGCCAGCCCTGGGGCTGCCAAATGCCAGACTAGCCCCTTCCTCCTCCATATAAGGGTAACTCGCCACCCAGAGAGGGAATGGATGCTCTCATTTAGCTGACTCCTTACAGCAAGGAGCATCCTGTTTCCAGGGAGATAAAGCAGGGGACCAGAGTGCCCCTCGCGTGGGCCCCGTCAAGGGGGCAAACTCAGGAGCTTCCCTTTTTTCATAATGCAGCCAATTCCACCCCCTCAAGAGAAACAGTCTGAGAGCTGAAGACCGTGTCCTAAGCAGGACGGGCTGTGTACATGTCCTGTTCTTGTCTCTTCCCGATGCCAGTGGCTGGGCTGGGCCTGCCCTGAATCGAGGGAGAAGAAAGGGAGAGGAACAATCCTCTGTTCCCAAGTCCCTGGGGGGCCAAGCTTTTGCAGTGAATCCTGGGAACCTTCCAGTGGTTTTATGTTTTGTGTTGTTTGTAAAGCTGCCATCTGACCAAGGTCTCCTGTGCACAAGTTGCCAGGGACAGGCAGGGAGGGGGGCAGGGGCTCTCGGGGTGATTTCTTTTCTTAACTAAGCATTGTGTGGTTTTGACATTGTTTTGTAATTTTTTTTTTTTTTGCTAACTTATTTGGATTTCTTTTTTAAAAAATGAATAAAGACTGGGTGCTAGAAGAGCGTCTGTGATGATGTGGAGGGAGGGGGTGGCCGCCGCTCCTGCCCCTCCCCCTCGGTGGTGCAGACAACCCCCTCAGGTGCCTCCTAAGGACTGGACCTGGTAGGGTTCCAAAAGCAGCTCCAAAAGACAGCTGAGCAGCTATCTTGCTGGTGGTCACCACGTGCTGGGAGCCCTGCTCTTTTTACCACCATGAAGGAAGCTGGGTGTGGTCCACCGGCTGGGTGAAGACCAGATCCACAAACACCTCGAGATCCAGAGGAAAGCCTGGCCAGCATTCTGTGGCACGCTTCCTTACTCATGGACACTGCAACAGTCTATGTGCTCCGTCTTAAATCCCAAGAGGTCCAGTCCCTTCCAACTAATGAACATGCTCTCTGGCCAGCACTCATCCCACCACCAGCAGGCAGGGTTGTAGAGTGGGAATTTGTGGGTTTCCCCTCCCTAATCCCTGCCTCTCCTCTGGTGTGACATTACCAGGGGCCCTGCAGGAAAGTGGGAGGTGAATAAATCAGCGTGACTGAGGTCAGACACTGTCCATTCCCTGCAGGCCAACCAGCATGTCCCCCTCGCCACACCCTTCCATCTCTCCAGGCTGAAGGGGATCCTGGCCCCCTGCCCACAGTTCAGAGGATGAAGGCAGTTCTGCTGGGGGCAGAGGGAGGGCCTCACAAAGAACAATCAAAGGAAGAGAAGCTGGGGTTCTCTTCATGGGATGCTGTATCTTCCAACTACTGGCTGAAGGGAGAAGGTGGGTGGAAAATTGAGAAGATTCTGGACATAAATTACATAAGGACTAGCTGGGGAGATAGCAGGAGCTAGAATTTGAATGGACCATGAACATCTACTAAAAATTTTATTAACTCCAACTGCTTTAGGCTGAATTTGTCTGATTTCTTGCAAATTATAAGTTTCAGAATCATTACAGAAGTCTGGGGATTCGGAGCGTGATACATTCTAGCCCCCACCCAATTCTTCCGGGCCCCTGTTTGGGACTTCGCCCAGTTTAACCTTCCAGGCTCTGGGACCCATTCTGCACTTGCTCTGGGCTTAGCGGGACCATCTCTCCCATATCTGCCCTCCAGACTTGCTCCTGAAGAGGGCTGTCAACTCCCCACTCCCAGAAACTCTGCCTAAGGAAGAGAAGGAGGAAGCCCCAGAGTAGGCTCACAGACCAAGGTGAGGGTGCAGAAGGGAGCAGCCCCCCGCCCCAGGGCCTATTTGTCTCCAACAACCAGTCAGGGTTAGGCCTACTGGGAGTCACAGACTGGCTTCATCTGCCCTATCTGTGGGGTTTTCTTCTGGAGTCTGTGTCCCTGTGTTTACAGTCTCACCTTCTTGGAAGGGCCGGAGAGGAATACCTACGTCATTTGCATGACTCTTAGCTCCCCCTGACTCACTGCCCTTGGAGATGAGGAGATCCCCACAAGCCTGGGTGCAACACCTTGGCTCTCAAGTCTACATTCACTCCCTTACTATCCACTAAAAACACTAAACTACACATTCAAAGGGGGGGGGTCTGCTCCCCTCAAGTTCATTTCCTCTGTCCCTGGTACCTCCCAAGCTCCTAGGTGGATACAATCCCACCACCTTCAGTTGCCCTGCTTCTCACTGGGGAGCTAGGGGCAGTAAAGGACAAGCGTACTCGTCTCTACTACACAGCTGATAGGCTCTGGAGTGGCTGACATATTTTCTAAGTTTATTCTTCTTCACTCATCACGTCAATTGGAAACTGAGGTTCATATTCCTAACCTGGTTAGAATGAACAGTCCTCAGTAATGGCCACCAGGGTCAACTGTTCCTGATCATTGTCAGGGGTGGCCATTGTCTACCTATTTCTTCTTTGGTCTTTAAGTCCTTAAGCTTCCCACCAGAGCGACAAGCTGCTGGGATCTCAAAGGTGTGAGCAGCAAACTTGGCCAAATGGAAGCCCAACCTCACCCATTATTTGCACAGAATAAACGACTGTCATCAAAGCACTGAGCCTTTCCTAAAATAAATGCTTAGTCTTCACAATTAAATTACAGATAAGACTCCAATTAATGACTAATGAGTGGTAGTTCTTTAGGGAAATTAGCTTAAATCCGGTCTCCAGTGGAAGTACCTGCAATAAATCAAACCGGGTTAATCAAATGTTACCTAATAATGGACTTCAGGGAATCCTCTAGAATGTAAAGATAAGAATTACTGGGAATTGGCATCCCGGTTGTCAGTGTGTAAAGAGGAACTTCGTAGAGTGTTTAGCTGATCAGCGTGAACTGCAGAATGCTTCCAGTACTATTTGTTGCTTCAAGTACCATTGGTTGCTTAGGTATCCAACTTTTCAAGGTCATCTATCTGGTCAGCTAGAAAACGATTTCAGTGCTGCTGGTATAGTAGCTGGTAGGACCACCTGGAGAGGGAGGTGGAGGGGGACAATGGAAGGTGAGAGGAGAGGAGCCCCCTCAAATCAGGCGTCTGTTGCCTGGATAGAACCCTATCACCAACATGTCACATCCCTTGGACTTGTCTGACTTCCTGGCTTCTGGGCTCCAGGCTGGAGCTGAGGTGCCTGGTGGTGCACCAAAGCTCAAGAAGGACTGAAGGTTCCAGGTTCGGCTGGGGTCTTGGCTAAGGACCCATAGGCCAGGCCTGGGTGGGAACCCCAAATCTCCACCCCATGGCAATTCTGGCTGTGCCTCTCCTCCCGGCCACAGGCAACCACCAGACACAGACTCTGCCTCTCACTCTGCCTGGAACATTCCTAAGGGAGGCAAAGGAAAGTGCTCTAGAAAAGAAATCTGGAATCTTCTTTCTTTTCTACAAACGCTGACAGAAACATGATGTTGGGGTCTCATCTCAAGTTCAGCATGTCTATAACTAAACTCCCATTTCCACGTACGCTCGCTCCTTCCACATTCCCCATCCCAGTGGATGGCAACACTGGGAAACAGTTTTCAATCCCCAAAAAAAGTTTTTCTGGATTCTTTCAGATCTCATGCTGTAGCTAGCTGGTCACCACGGCTGGTCAATTCTACCTTCGTGGAGTGGGTGGGAAGGGACCCGCAGAGGCTTGCAGGCCCTAGGCCAGCACCTTCCCTCCTCTGTGTGCCCTTCCTGGGTCACAGGTTGCCTTGTCTTGCTCCCATCCTGTCACCTGTGCCCATGGACCCTGCCACCCTGTGCCATCAGTGTTTGGGACAGTGGTAGCCCTGGAAAGAATTTGGTGGGTTTTTTTTTGTTTTTTTTTTTTAATTTATTACATTTTCTATTTTATTTTTTTAATTTTGTTAAAGATCTTTTTTTTTTTTTTAAAGATTTTATTTATTTTTTAGAGAGCGAGCAAGAGAGAAACAGCATGAGAGGGGAGAGGGTCAGAGGGAGAAGCAGGCTCCCCGCTGAGCCGGGAGCCCGATGTGGGACTCGATCCCAGGACCCTGGGATCATGACCTGAGCCGAAGGCAGCCACTTAACCATCTGAGCCACCCAGGCGCCCAGGATTTGGTGTATTATGCTGCTCTCAAGGAGTCCACAGTTTAGGTGAGCAGAAGAAACATAGTCCACAGAAGCCAAGTGCCACATGAGTGTGGGTTTGGGAAAGGGAGCTGGGGCAAGGGGGGCCAAGGGGCAGAGGCTTGAGCTCACTTAAAACAGAAGCAAATAAAAGAGAGAGAGAGAGAGAAGCAAGTAACATTTGGTAGGGAGTCCTGGCATTGGGTCAGAAGTTTTAACATACATATTGTAGTAAAAGGACAAGGCACTGCAGTCAGAAGACTTAGCTTGGGAACCTACATCTGTCTCTCACCAGCTGTGTGGTCTGAGCCTTACAATTTCCTGTTCTGCAAAACAGCCAAGATAACACATCTCAGGGCTGTGAGGATTAAATGAGCTAATACATTGAGCATGCTTAAACGGTATCTGGCACACAATAGTTCCCAGTAAGTTTTACTTTATTTAATAATAATCCTCCTAAAAACCCTCTGAGATAAGGTTGATTCATTTATTCACTCGAGTGTGTCCATCTAGGGACCCGAAGATCAATAAGACAGACCCAAGGGCCTTCCTCACAGCCCCCCGTGGGAACGGACGAGGAGAAAGACTGCCTAGCATGGTGGGGTGCCGAGTGCCAGGGAGCAAAGGGTCGTTGCTTATCTAGTTCGGCTGGGGAGGGCCTGGTCATGCCTCCCAGGTGATGCTCCAAGTGGGTCTGGAAGGTTCGTTGCTGCAAAGGGAAGGCGAGAGGCACTCGTGTTGCCTTCTGGTGTTGGGGCTGAGGGACTGACATTTCTGAGTTCGGTGGACTCAGACTGGTGAGTGAGGGGGCACTGGAGCCAAGTCACAGGCAGCCCGTCACGCTACACGCAGGGGGTGGGCCTCTGATCGACAGGCAGAGGGGGCTGCTGCAGCGTGAGCCGAGGGGTCATCTGAGCAGGGGCCGTGGAGGGGCAGTGGCCCTGGGGGCCTTGTGAAAGGCCAGGAGGAGGGCGGAGCTGGACCAGGTGAGTGGAGAGGAAGAAGAGGAAGAAATCAAGCCCAGCATCAGGGCTCCTCACTCCTTTTCCTAATTCCCTTGGCACAGGCAACCTGAACATTAGCCTTTCTAGCAATCCCATAGTTAGGTAAGTAAACAGAAGGTTCCTGACTTTATGTCTTTAAAACTCGGATGTTGGGGCGCCTGGGTGGCTCAGTCGTTAAGCGTCTGCCTTCGGCTCAGGTCATGATCCCAGGGTCCTGGGATCGAGCCCCGCATCGGGCTCCCTGCTCGGCGGGAGGCCTGCTTCTCCCTCTCCCTCTCCCCCCGCTTGTGTTCCCTCTCTCGCTGTATCTCTCTCTGTCAAATAAATAAATAAAATCTTTAAAAAAATAAAAAATAAAAAAAATAAAAAGTAAAACTCAGATGTTTACTTCCCAGAGGACTATGGAGGAAGCTGGACAGGTCAGCTGAGCTCTAAGTTTAAAAAAAAAAAGAAAAGACCAGAGCCATGTGTAGGTTGTCTTAAAACCAGGTTGTTTATTGATA